ATACCTGTCGTGTGTGTGTGTGTGTGTGTGTGTGTGTGTGTGTGGTTTTGTGGGGTTTTTTGTTAATCCTCACACGAGGATATTTTCCCATTGCTTTCTAGAGAGAGTGGAAGGGAGGGAGAGAGGAAGGGGGAGAGAGAAAAAGAGAAACAGATGCAAAAGAGACTCCTAAACTGGTTGCCTCCCCTACACTCCCTGACTGGGGCAGGGGATTGAACCTAAAACCCAGACACGTACCCTTGACCAGGAATCAAACCTGAGACCCCTAGGTGCACGGGGCCAACACTCTAACCATTTGGCAACACTGGCCAGCTGTAATATTTGTTTAAATGCTGTCTTGATCCAGTTTTGAGGCCCTGGCTAGAGGCCCTGGCTTAATTCCCTTCTTAGGCAGCCAATTAAGTCCACGCCCCCCAACCACCTCTCTTATCAGGTTGTCAAATCCAGGCCACTATACACCCGCCCTAATCACCCCAGGACCAGGTACCAGACAACCAGGGGCAGCCCCTGTGCCCGAGAGCCCATGGAAATTATTCAGACCAGCCAATCAGACTGCTTGTCCTGCCTGGTCCTTTTCTCCTGCAAAAACCACAGTTACACTCTCTACCTTGCAACCCACCCTTGTTTACCTCGAGTGGCCCTGCTTGGCATGCGGTGTTCTGTCCAGGGAAGCGTGAGTGTAAGAAAACTTTCGGTGTCTTTCTCTTGGTCTGTGTCTAACCTCACCATACCTTTCCCAAGGTAATATGGTTAAGACAATATCCCACAGGAAAACGCTTGGGCACCTACCGGGCAGATCAGCACAGTACCAAGCCAACGGGACCTTCCTGGGACCTTCCCTCCAGCCCCACCCCATTCCCTGGAGAGGTCAGAAGATGCTGTTAACAATCTTGGGGAGTGGAGTGTTGTGATTCAAAGAGATCCTCTTGGTGGAACAATGGAGGAGAAGCCCTATGCATGCTGTTTCTCTCCTGGAGCATGTCCCCTGCTCCTATACATGGATCCTCAGGTTTGTCTATTACACAGAACTGGACATTTAAATTCATGAAATGAGACTATTCATGGGATTAAAGCGTCTGGAGGTCTTTCTGTTATCTGAAGAGGAACAGAAAATTAGTGGGACCAACCCCAGAGGTCACTCAGGGCTGGGGAAAAAAATGTGTTCCATAGAGAAAGCTTCAACGGACAGATTGGGGAAAGAACAAACAGAGAAGAAACTTGCTTTTTTATTTCGCTTTATCTCTTTCAGTGTAACTGTTACACATATTGCATCTCTCCACCGAGCCCCCCTCCAGTTTGTCCTTGACTCTGGACAACATGAGGCCAGGAAAGAGATACAGCCTTCTAGACAATGCGCTTCTTACAGCTCCATTCGCTGGTTCACTTGACGTTCCTTTTCACATGAACTGTTGTTTGTAGTGGGTGCTTGATGTCTGTTTTTGCCTGCACCCTTTCCCCTTTCTCCTGGGAAGCCCTCTCCTTTTTGTATTGGGGAATAATTCTTCCTGAACCCCAGTCTTACAAGGTGTCCTTTTCTCACATGTTCTCGCCACCTGGATTGGTTCCTGAGTGATCACTAGACATCAGCTGAGCCAAAGTTTTCCCCTTGGATTTGTACAGTTGAAAATAGGAAAAAGAGATTTCTACTTGCATCCATGAAGTACTAACTACGCTGGGAACTTCCCTCCATTGTAAACAACCAGAAAAACAAACAAACAGACACCCAGCAACTGTTTTCAAGCATCCAGCAGCAGCACGGGATTGTGATGACCATCAAAAGGGCAATGAATGATGTGGGGCCTACAGTTGCCCCAGGCTGCTGTCTCAAAACAGTTTCCAGGTGTCACTGCGGAAGGAGAACCCAGACAGAGCCCAGCAACCTCACAGAGTTCAGGAGACAGAAATCAGAGTTCAGGAAAACTGAAGCCGCTGGAATTTGTGGAGCAGAGTATCAGAGAGGAGGGCACAGAGAGAGCTGCAGACATCTGAGAGGGAGCCCCTCAAGTCTTTAGCTGAGTGCTGGTCAGAACCTGCATGGGTGATATTCTAGGACAGTGATGGCGAACCTATGACACACGTGTCAGAGGTGACACGTGAACTCATTTTTTGGTTGATTTTTCTTTGTTAAATGACGTTTAAATATATAAAATAAATATCAAAAATATAAGTCTTTGTTTTACTATGGATGCAAATATCAAAAAATTTCTATATGTGACACGGCACCAGAGGTAAGTTAGGGTTTTTCAAAATGCTGACACGCCGAGCTCAAAAGGTTCGCCATCACTGCTCTAGGAGGTCAGGGAGGGAAGCACAGAGAGCAGCACACCAAACCTTTCCTGGAGCTCACACAGGGCTGGAATATTTTGTCTTCACGCCAGCCAAAATGGAGAGACCTCTTAAAACATTAAGCATTGGACAGAGTCTTCAAAAGCAAACTTTGTATTGGGGCAACATTTGCTCTAGATTAAAAACTGATCTGAGCCCTAGCTAGTTTGGCTCAGTGATTAGAGTGTTGGCCCTCGGACTGAAGGGTCACAGGTTCGATTCCTGGTCAAGGGAATCTACCTCAGGTTGAATCCCTGGCCCCAGTCGGGGCATGTGTGGGAGGCAACCAATCAATGTGTCTCTCTCATGTTGATGTTTCTCTCTCTTCCTCCCTCCCTCCCTCCCTCCTCTCTCCCTTCCACTCTCTCTTTAAAAATCAACGGAGCCCAGCCAGCATGGTCAGTAGTTGACCATCGACCTATGAACCAGGAGGTCAGGGTTTAGATTCCTGGTCAGGGCACATGCCCAGATTGTAGGCTCAATCCCTAGTGTCGGGGGCATGCAGGAGACAGCCAATCAATGATTCTCTCTCATCATTGATGTTTCTCTCTCTCTCTCCCTCTCCCTTCCTCTCTGAAATCAATAAAACTATATTAAATTGAATAAATAATTAATTAATTTTTAAAAGTAAATGGAAAATATCCTTGGGTGAAGATTAAAAATAATAAAAATAACAAACTGTCTGGGTCTACCTTAACACAGCTTAAAAGCAAGACTCAAAAGGACCTTGTCTCCTTTGTCAAACATACAATGGAGTCAAGACAGTTTCTTCAATAAATGGTGTTGGGAAAATTGGACAGATACATGCAAAAAAATGAAACTAGACCACCAACTTACACCATACACAAAAATAAACTCAAAATGGATAAAGGACTTAAATGTAAGACGGGAAACCATAAAAATACTAGAGGAATCCAAAGGCAACAAAATCTCAGACATATGCCGAAGCAATATCTTCATTAATATAGCTCCTAGGCCCTAGGATCTAGGGCAATGGAAACTAAAGAGAAAATAAACAAATGGGACTACATCAAAATAAAAAGCTTCTGTACAGCAAAAGAAACAATCGGCAAAACAACAAGAAAGCCCATGTCATGGGAGAACATATTAGCCAATGTTATCACCAATAAGGGTTTAATCTCCAACATTTACAGGGAACTCATACAGCTTAACAAAAGGAAGATAAACAACCCAATCAAAACATGGGCAACAGACCTAGATACTTT